ACCCAAGGCAGAGTTGCTAGCCCCTTGGAAAGACTGGGAAGCTGGGGCAACAGTCAACCAAGATAAACAGGAAGATCCGTGGGTCAGGCATGTATTAGTGCTTATATGTGGATTTATGTATAATGTTTTTCAGCATAATTCACACTACGCTATCTTATTTTAAAGACTGCAGAGACTGATGCACCAACCAAGGACCATGCATGGAGAGGACCTAGATCCCTTGCTCAGAAGTAGCCCATTGGCAGCTCAGTCTCCATGCGGGTTCCCAAGTAAGGGGAGCAGGAGCTGCCTCTGCCATGAACTCGGTTGCCTGCTCTTTGATCACTTGCCCCTGGCAATGTGTCCTTGCCAGGCCACAGAGGAAGAGAATCTCATCAGACAGTCCTGATGAAACTTGATAAGCTATGGGCAGATGGCAAAGGAGGAGAACTCCCCCTTTAAGTGGACTAGGGAAAGGGGATGAGGGAAGAGGGAGGGAGAATGGAGAGGGGAAGTAGAGTGAGGGGGCCTCAATAGGGATGTATAATGAATAAATTGTGAAAAAAAATAAAAATTAAAATAAAAATAAAAAAGACTTGGGTCAGAATGTACATGTACCTGAATTGCTCATTTAGAAAGAGCATCACTGTGTGAACAAGAATAAAACCTAACAGTGCTCGTCCTCAAGCACTTGATTCCAGAGAAGATGGTTTCCTCTTAGATCAGCAGAGGTTAAGGAGAAAGAGAGCAGGCAGCCTTAAAGACTTTAGAGGATGGTTAGTTTTACTGTGGTGCCCCCTAGTGCTAGGTGAGGTTAGGTAAATTTTTGTATTGCCCATCTTTAGATCCCATGCAGGAAAGAAAATGGGGAGAATCGTCAGTGTTGGTAACTGACCCCCTTCGCATAGATAGAATCAGTCAAGTTCCCCAGAATGATTCACAAGATTCTTTGCCGTCCACGCCTGTCCAGATCTTCAGCGTCATGTCCTACTCTCATTCCCTATGAACATTCACTCCCAGCTATGATGAATGATTTGCTGTTCTGCCTACCCTTCCCCATCCCTCCTGTCTGTGTAAGAAACTCGGCTCTTAGCTTTAACATCAGCTGATGTGTGTTGTCTTTTCCCTCAGCTCCCCTGCCCCCCTCCCCACGTATATACCCACACATCTCAGGCAACCCCTTCTCCCTCCACGACTCTTCCTACTGTCCCTGGAGCAGGTTTCCACGTATCTGTCACATTTTGACGATTAATTCAAAGAGCTTTAAAAAAGAAACCTTCTACAGTGAAGCTTTATTCTAAAGCTTCCAACAGTATCCTATACAAAAAAGCACTCAGAACAAATGGAAGAGAGCTTTAACTGATAAGGATTCTAGTACAGGAGCCAAAAGTAAACAGTTAATTAAGTGTATAGGTGACCATGAGCAATTTACCTGCCTTCTTTGTTTTCCCATGAAATACTGTGGCTAATATCTACTCAACAACCCAGGGTCTCTGGGCCATTTCATCAATACCCACCATCAGCGCCTCAAAATTCTTTCTAATGAATTAATTCAATACTCAAGATGTTTCCTTTTTTAATTCTCAAAGAGAATTAATTCTCAGAAAAATCAAACTCTACTTGAATTTGAAGTTATTTTACATATATGATTGAATAATTTCTAAGAAGAAGACATGCTAGATTACAGATTAGATTACATTTCAATTGATTCTAAACAAAGATTCAAGGCAAATTCCTCTTTCCAGTATTGAAAAAATAAAAAAGTTGAAAGTTATTATATGAAACATCACCAAAAAACTGAATTCTAGTTCTGGCTTTCCTTGACAGAGAGCACTTCTGCTTTCCCCAGCAGACACAGTGACAAGAAGGTAGGGTTTGCTAAGGAAAACTTCTTAACTCTACAAAGTCATGATACATGGAGCTTGGAAGACTTCAACAGCCCCAGAACATGCAAATATAATTCACAACAGCTCCTGGACAGCTGGGGAAATAGCTCAGATGATAAAGTATTTCCCTAAAAAATGAGAACTCAAAGTCAGTTCCCAGAAGCCAGAATTAAAATACCAGGCATACAAGTTGCACTTGTAATCCCAGCACTGGGACAGCAGAGACAGGAGGTCCCCTGGGCTTCACTCATCACACAGTCTAGCCTAACTGGTGCACCCCAGACCTATGAGGATGTTGTCTGAAAGAGAGTGGGAGGCATTTCCGAGGAGGACGTTTGAGTTTGTTCTCTGTCCTCCATACACAATTGCACATACACTTATAGCTGTGTCGACAAAAGCAAGCACATATGTATAATGCACACATATAAATATACACACCCACACACACCACATTAAAAAAATAATAAAAGCAAAGAGCTTCTCACCTCCTAGGCCAGCTCTCCCTCTGCCATTGTCTCCTAAGGCCTCAAGTGAGACTAGAAGCCTGGCACTTTAAATGGTACCACAGAGAAACGCCTAGTGTTCAGTGAGTCAGCAGCGGCGGCGGCAGAGTTCAGCTTTATAACGCAAGTCACTGATATTCTAGAGCATTTGTGTCTTTCCTTGCCCTAAGCAAGGTATTTCATGAACCCAGGATAGGTAATTCAAATAACTACAGAAAGTATAAATTAAGTACATGATCTCTCTCAGGCCAGTCTTAAGAGCTAAGACATCTGTACACTTAGGCACAAAAAAAAAAAAAAAAAAAAAAAAAAAAAAAAAAATGCTAATGTGCATTTTCTGTTCCTTCAACCCTCAGGCCTGTTCTTTGAGATGACATGCTCATTAGTTGCTGAGCTGAAAGAGACCTCAATGTCCATTTCAGACAACCATTCCCTGTTACAAATGAAAAACACCAAAAGAAAAAAGTGAACTGTGCACGAGGTGGATAAGGGCCGTCTTTTGTGGGAGGGGGACTGGGGACATTTCAAAGACAAAAACTGCTTTTCATGTATGTGAATGAAATTTAACCCAGGAATGATTATTGCTGAATAAACTTACAGGGAAAGTTGACTGCCTGGTAAGGTTTAGAAGCTGTAACTTCGGGATCTTGAATGCAGGGAATAAGGGCTAAAAGGTTAAAAAGCTAAGAAATAATGGGAAAGGGGAATAAACGTGATTCTTTGCAGAATGCCTTTTTCCAGCCACAGAAAAACCTAGTTTTCTTGGGTATAGAGTAAGCACTGCAGTTCAGCTTCCCCTGACACCTCACGACAACCTGTGTCTCCCGGGAGAGGTTTCCTTGACTCATCTCCCACCACCTGTTCCACACCAACCACAACATCTGACACTGGTGTTTTCAAAGGTGACCATCCCCTTTGTCAAAGACATTATCTTCCCCTTCTCATCTCTCCCCCATCAATACAATCTGACTCAGCTCCAAGGAAAATACATAGTACACATCTCTGCTCTCTGCCCTTTTCCAAGTGTGACTAGATACAGTGATCCATTTCCCTGCCCAGGTCCTAGCACAGCATAAAAATTTTAGACAGCTAAGCCCCCAAATCAAGCTGCTTATTTCGTGAGCAAACAGCTTCAGTGTCCAACGAACCTCTCCTGCTTTTAATTCCATTTCTGAGCCAAGACCACCAAAACAAATTCCTCCTTAGATTGTTGCTTACCTCAAGGACCTGGAAAGGTAGCTTTGGCTTTATTTCCCACCTCTGCCCACAGAGTTTCTGGGTGACTTGAAGAAAGGACCCCTGTTTTTACCGTGTCCTGGGGGAGACTGCCCAAGGAGGTCCCAGACGCCAGGGGGTTAGCCCTGCGTTTCACTTTTTGCTCTCTCCAGCTCTTCCCTGTGCCCTTGGGTGCCTGGTTACCCTTGAGTGGGGCCTTCCTCATCCCGCAGAGTAAGGAAACACACGGCCCTGCGGTTCTTTGAAAAGTCTCAAGACTCCCAGGCCTATTCAATGTGCTCAGCTGGTCTATTTTTGGTTACGTTTGCTTTCTTTTCAGAAAAGCCTAATTCCGGTCTGCATGCTACCATGCCCTACCATAGCACCTTCTTCTCCCCAAAGTGCCTGCTTTTCATCCAGAGTCCTGCACCACAGAGACCTATGTGGAGCGGAGAGAAGAGAACCAGCACAGTCGGGAATCGAACTGGCCAAGCAGGCTTGAGCAACGCACCAGCTACCTTTCTGTAGTTCGCTAGCCCAAGGGACAAGCGCTGTACACGGTTCAACAGTCATGAACACACACACTCCCACCAGCTTCTATTCACCAAAAACACTACTTCCTGTACACAGAGACAAGCCTGGGCATATGTCTGGACGGTTCACCGTATCCTGGGTTAATCTGAGGTAGCTGTGTCCCTTACACGGCCATTAAAAATAAGTTCCGTGTTGTCTGTCCCATCTACCAGGGAAAAGTTTCCTGATGTGGGGAAACAAGAATTATGAGTCCAGATTCAACAAAGAATTCTGAGGAGACTGCAGAGTTACCTTCTGCAGTGAACAATTAAAAAACATAAAAAAAAAAACAAAAAAACAAAAAACTGGGGTTTTAAAAGTGATTGTCAAAAAAAAAAAAAAAAAAAAAAAAACAACAACAACCTATGAGATGATTAAGTCATTGATGCCAACGTGTGAACAAATGCGAATACACAGGCTGTGCAGCCCTTCGAACGCAAAGTCTGTGACAGGAAAGGACTGAGTACTGAAACCTTCAGGATTTTTTTAAACAGGTGTCCTTGAGTATCTGCAGAGGCATGAATGCAATAGGAAGTAAAAGGTCTGTTGTCTCTTTTTTCCATCGATTCCTCGATCAGACCAGGATAGAGAGACAAACCAATGACCCAAAGCTCCAGGATGACATCTCATTAAGAGATACCAGGATTTTTGCTTAAAAAAAAAAAAAAAAATCTAGAAACAGGGCCCTTCTGCCCTTCACTCTGCCCTAGCACCGTTGAAATAGGAAGGCAAGGAGACACCAAGGGGTACTTGACCACCCTGTACAAGCACTTGTTGGCAGTGACGGGGCCTCAACAGTTTTAGCATTAGATTATTTCCAGATGACTGCAGAGGTGCATCTTACCGGGGAAGGATAGAGGTGTGCGCAGATGTAGATGAGGCAGAGGAGCAGCCCAGCCCCCTGAATCCCAGAGACCACCAGCAATAACTTCTTCCACTGAAATCCTGGCCTTGATCCGCTTTCCAGATTTTCATCCAGGGGTTGAACCCCCAGCACTTCCATCTTCACGGTCTGGGTACAGAGAAGATACAGCTGTGGCAAAGAGGAACCTGGGAAAGATTGGTCTTTACCACAAAGAAGGAGATAAGGGCAAAGCCAGCTTGTAAGTCAGAAGATAGATAAAGGTCCCAGAACCTGAGACAAAAGGCAATTGAAGGAGCAGGGCAGACTCTCTCAGTTTTAACCCTGCAGATTTTGCAGGCGGGGGAACTTCTATGTGACTAATCTGAATTTCCCCTTTACTTTCTTTCTTTCTTTTTGTTTCCCTCTGGGCTAAGAGGGAGTTGTTTTTGCGGCATCCCGGTTATGAATTGAGTGACTTCAAAATGACAGTCACAAACGTGTGCTCTTAAGCTTTTTTTTTTTTTTTTATTGATTTGGTAAAGATAAAGATCATCATTTCTTACTTTTTTTTTTTTTTTTTAGCAGCTTATTTTCCAATCCCTCAAGATGTCTTAAACCATAGAAGAGATTTGAGGAAAATATTGCCCAACACCCTTGTTTCTATTACCCAATTAATCTCCCAGCCCATTTTACAGATTGAGAATAAAATGCATGCAAGGTCATTCTTGAGGACAAAAGGACAAGGAAGAAAATAGGATAGTGGATTATGCATGTAGATATAAAGAAAGGGTCTTATAGTTACATAATACATCACATTAAAGCAAATAAACTACTTATTGAGCAACCGCTATGGGTCGGACACTGTGTTAAATGGCCTTGCAAACATCACACTTACTCATTTCAAGAAGATTCAGTAAACACATAATCAATTTTCTGAATACCAGAAAAGAAGCAGAACAAAATTCTGTCCCCATCAACCCCCCTTTATATTTCTATCCACTTTATATTTTTCCCCCACACATAATTTCTGCATGAGTAATTCAAGTAACCTTTGAGGGTTGTTATTTTCTTTGAGGTGACAGTCGGCTGGACTCAGAGCCTGCTAAGTAAAGATCTCTTCCCAAGGCTGGAGAGATGACCCAGGGGCTAAGAGCACTGGAGTTGGAGCCCTTGCTCTCTACATGGTGCCTCACAAGCATCCGTAATTCTAATTCCGGGAGATCGGGTGCCCTTTTCTGACCTCTGTGGGCACCAGGCATGCAGGAGGTGCGCAGACATGCAGAACACCCACACATAAAAAGAAAGCTTTACAAATACAGCCTTCCAATAGCCAACTGCTCACTGCTTATCCTTTCTCACTGAAATGCGCAATGAAATTAAAAGTAAATGTGAAATTGTAATGTCAGGTCCAAGATGGCAAAATATGCATTGAGCATGTGATATGAAGTCAATGCTATATAAAAAAAGAACATAGGGGTACTGAACATAATTCTCTCTCTGCTTTATGGGAAAGCACTTCCCGTGTTTTCTCATGGAGTCTTCAACAGATATTTAAAGAAAGAAGTAAGAGAAAAAAATATTCTGAATGCTAGATATATAAGAAGGAACATGAACCTTCAATTTTGTTGTTGTTGTTGATTTTTGTTCTTAGAGACAGGGTTTCTCTGGGTAGCCTTGGCTGTCCTGGACTTTGTAGATGAGGCTGGCCTTGAACTCGCAGAGATCCACTTGTCTTGTCTCCTGAGCACTGGGATTAAAGGTGTGTGCCACCACGCCTGATCTGAAACTTCAAATTTGTCCCAATTAAAAAAAAAAAATCATGGATATGAGGCATAGGAAAAAGAAAAACAAGCTGCAGGAAATGGAAAGTACATTGCCACAGTATTCAACAGCTTAATGAAATCGATGCCTACATTATATTAACGAGGTTTTGTATTTGGAGACCATATTGGAACGTAGGGCATACACCAGAGGTTTAAGGCCGGACGTAAAATTCCACATAAGCGACTCTGCAGCGGTGAGTCCCCCAGGAAAGCCTGAGTGAGGCACAGGGAATGAAGACAAAAGGTGAAAGAAAAATCAGTGTGTAACTCCCTACCTTGCATAATCCACAGTAACTTTTTACTCATCTATGGAAAAAAAGATGACTGAAAGAGATGGGGGTGGGGGAGCCCAAAACTCTAATAGAAACTAGAGACAAGCTGAAAAAGTATAAAGTTCATTCATGTTGAAATCCACAGGAAAAAGTCTGGTTAGAGGTGTGTGTTCACGCCTGCACGTGTGTGTGTGTGTGTGTGTGTGTGTGTGTGTGTGTGTGTGTGTGCAGCCATTTGCACACGTGTGAATGTAGTGGCTGCAGGTCGACATCAGGTGTCTTCTCCAGTTCCTCTCCAACTTAGTTTGTGAGGAAAGGTCTCTCCTCAGTGCTGGGACTAAGCATGCTCCACCGTGACCAGCTTTTACATAGATGCTGTGGGTCAAACTGAGAACCTCATGTTTGCATGGCAAGTGCTTCACTGATTGAATCGTCTCCCCCAAGACTTCAGAATATTTTAAATGACTGCCAAAGGGACACGAAAATAAACAAACACCTATGTGCACAAGCCTAGGAAGTATCTTACACGTTTCTTTTTTTATTGTCCGCATTCTCTCACGGCCCTTGTGGAAAGGAAAACACACACACACACATACACATACACAGATTTAGAAAATAAGCTGCAAATTCTAGGTGAGATCTTTGATAGACTATGTGAGTGTCTCAAAGTGCATCATTGGACTCTTCTAGCATTTGAACACCACTGATAACAACACTGTCAGTGACATCATTGGTGGCATTTCAGTCCTGGGCAGATGAGCAGGGACCTCCATCTTGACAATACTTTCTAATAAAATGTGGTTGAAATGTTTGTAAGGAAATCAGTTGAATTACTAACTGCGTGTATTAAATCACCTTACAGAAGTAAACATGTTGGCCAGAATAAACTAGCTTTGAATGGCAACCCAGAAAGTAAAATAAACCAAAGCAGTTATCTCTCACACACATTAACCTCCTACCGGAATAGACAAAGTTACGGAGAAGTATGGAAAAGAAAAATACTTCAAAAGATGACAGAAGCTCTCATGTTCAGAAAGTAGTGAAACTTTTGGGGGCTTTTTTGGTTTGGGGGATTTTGTTGTTGTTTTGGGGTTTTTGGTATTGGGGGGTGTTTCATTTGTTTGTTTGTTCGTTTGAAATATCTGTGTGCATCTCATTTTCCACTCAGTATACGCCAGGACCAGGTGCCTGACTCCTGGTGCTGGGGGAAAACACACATGAGTAAACACATCCTCAAGGACAGTCACAGATGGGAAAGAAGGACAGCCACAGCCTGCATGATGTCAGCGCCGGGGGAAGGATGCAGAGAGAGGGTACTATTCTACACTGGCATTTAAGAATGGGATAGCCTCCAAAAGATAAGTTGGGTAAGTCTTGTCGTCAAAGGCAATAGGGACAGGCAGTGGGGCAGGGGCAGGCTGTACACTCTGGGTAAATCTTGCTAGTGTCCTGTACATTCCGGGAACTACAGCTGAAGGCGTGGCTGGTGGCTGGTGGATGCCAGGGAGGCTTTCCTGAAATAAATTCTGTTACATGGCAAGGGCTTCAGATGATCTTCAAAGGAGCTGGGGAATCCTGACAGCTTTGAAGTAAAAGATGATGCGGTTACATTTTAGTTTTGTTGCTGTTTGTTTGTTTTTTGTTTTGTTTGTTTGTTTGTTTTTGCTTTTTTCTAGAACTCTGGATAAGTCCAAATGAAATGGTAGGGTGACCATTTCATTTGAGGTGAATCAAGGTGACCACCTGTGAGACATTCCTACGGTGTTCTGTGCCAACTAAACATGTAAGCATGCTCTGTGCCTCCTCTGCTCAGCCTCCAAGCCCTTCAGCTTTTATCTTCCTACAATGGTGTATTCTATTTCTCCAACACTGACTGGCTGCATCCACGCAGCCAGTTAATGCTGTTTTTCCTAATTCATGAATGCACAGACAGTGCCTTGTTCTAAGTCACACAAAGACAGCAGTGTGAGCTAGGGCTGTCCTTGGGCTTGCAATTAGTTAAGTGAGAAGTAATAAGATTATAAACCAAATTAAGGAGACTAGTAGATGCGGAGATACAGTAGCTCTTCATGCACCAAATATTTCGAACACTCACAGGGAGTTATAACAAAACGTCTTGAGTTATTGAGCAGGATTAGCGGGGAGTGATGGAATAAAATGAATTTTTTAAGTTACTAGGTTTGCCCTCTGTATTTTCAACCTGCTAACGGATCCCAGTGTACTGATATGGCTGCCCAGAAAGCTCTGAGTCTCAGAATTAACATTGTCTTTTCTTTACCCTTTATTAGTCAAAGTTTACAGGGCTCTCTGTCCCCAAAGTATAGCTCTGAGGCTCATGTTTTCTTCAAGTTTCCGTTCCTACTGCTTTTGACCCAAATCTGTATTCCTTCTCAGTGGAACTCCTAAGTTAAACTTTCAGCCCCTGACTCTACTTCCATTCTCTTTGGTTCTCAAACCATTTATTTCTTCTGCTCAGTGAGATCAGAATCATATGAAGAGTTGAAATTCTTTGGGCTGGGAGATGACTCAGCAAGTAACAAGTCTGAAGACCTGAATTCAGGTATGTTCAAACACGCATGCACGCACACACAAGCATGCACACACACGCACCAAAATTTGAAAGCCAAAGAGCTGAAATTCTCTACCTTCCCATTTAGTCACTAAGTTTCCTCTCCAAGCTTACCTTCCTCTTTTTCTGTTTCTGATATCCACTCTGCTTCAGAAACCTTTGTCTTTCATCTCTCCCCACTAAAACCCTACACACTTCACCAAGAATGTTGCCTTGTGAGGTAGTGGCCTTGAAGAATGAGCTAAACAAAATCCTTAAAGAAAGGGACTGGAGAGATAGCTCAGCAGTCAAGAGTGCTTCCTATTCTTCCGTAGGACTCAAGTTTGGCTCTCAGCACACATCCAGCAGCTCACAGTACTTGTAACTCCAGCTCCAGGGAATCCAACACCCTCTTCTGACCTTCAAAGGCACCTGCACTCAAGAGCACATACTGCCTTAACAAACCTTGCAAACAAAAACTTTGGGAAAATACTGCTGAGGGAACTCAGGGTTTGAGTAGAGGGTTGGTAGCACCCGTGGTTCCCCAAGGCATTGATCACCAGCATGATTAGAAGAGCTTTTGGAAGATTTATATCCCCCACTCCATACCTAAAATTCTGAGCCAGCACACCTGGAATAAAGTGTGGTAAACAGTATTTCTGAAAGATTTCTTCAGAGCCAGATTGGTGAGTCTCCCTAGAAGCAAACAGAGGTCTCTTTCAGCTTTATACCTCTGTGGTAAGAACTGTTCTCAGGGCCCCGAGGGGAACACATGTGTTTTCAGGCTATGTAGAGGGCTTTGGTGACACTCTGTACAGCTTCCTGAAATTATTTCTGTATTCTCCATGCTGTTGTACATCTCTGAGGTCAGGGGTGCTGTACTGAATTCCCACAAGAGCAGGGTAAGCTTTCTGTAAAGAGTTGCCACATTAATTTGAGTGTCTTGCTTGTAGACCTGAAGTGCAGTACTTATAGGAGCATAAAAGAACAGTATTGAAAATGGCACCATTAAACACAGAAGTCTCCTGGTTGCTGGACTTTGATCTTCAACTTGAGGTTAACACACTTTTGGTGTATATTGCTCATTGAAACCAGTTGTACAGATCAGTCCAAATGCAAATGTGAACTCACACGATGACGCTCCGCTTGGGTTTCAGAACCGCTAGTCCCTTTTCTTCAGGGACTAATTTTCCTTTTAGTTCTTCACATTAGTTGGTGCTTCTTTTTAAGGCTTGAATCGACCCCTGGCAGTTATTTTAGGGTATGATGATACATTATAAAACTCAGTAGTACAAAACAGTTGTAGGAATTTAGCTAAAAAAGTTTAGTGCTCACAAAATTACATTTTAAACTATGTATCCAGATTATGTGTGCAATGCCAAGAGAATATAAAAATATGAGTATATTAACCAATAATACATACATTTTTAAGAAACTTTATCAGACCCAAATATAATTATGTACAATAAATGCATCTATTTGAGACATATAATAAATGAGTCTTGGCAATTCTATATAGTCACAATGTCACCAAAATAAGAACTTCAAAAATATAACTTTCTTTAAGTGTAGTAATTACAAAAAAAAAAATCTATGCTGAGTTCATCAGAAAGTTAACAGACACTAGAAGGTAGATTTATCAACAAGAGATAATTTGCTAGAATTTAAGGCATTTTGGTCATTGAGACTAAACATAAAACATCACTAGTATGGAAGTTGGGATGCTGCTGAAATGCCACAAGGAACACACACACACACACACACACACACTGAAGGATTATCAGCATAAAGCGTGACTGATGCTGAAGATGATAAACCATGGTGTAGATGTACCTGTGTCCATAACTGACCAGGAATCAGGCATTGCAGTATTCACGCTGAGCCTTTAGGCAGGCTTATTGTCCTGTCTCAAACATCTATTGCCCAACAATCACTCTATAGAAAGTATTCTTTTTCTCTCAGCTAATAAATACATAATAGAGCTGAGACCTGAATTTAGATCTGTTCACTGTGGAGCCTGGTTTTTAAACTATGTGTAATGTTATTGATTTTTTTCAAATCAAAAGACAAGGTCTGTATCTGACCTGAGTATTTAATAAACAAGCAATAGATGTAGGTTAATATCACCATGTCAGATGCACACACCTTTGACCTAAAAAGAGAGAATAACATCTTCCTGTTACTTTGGTCCCTTCCTTTCCCTAAAACATTTGGTGTATGAAAACACCCCTTACATTTATGCTGTAACTTCTACATGCCAAGCACAGGGCCCTTGCTTCATTCAGTCCTCTCAGGAACACTGCGTGGTTGTTAGAAACTATTGTTAACGCAAAGAGCCAGACTCTCAGACTGACGTAACCACCGTAGTATTTTAACTAGGTAATTAGGGCTTACTGATTTTGCTGTACCAAACCACCCAATAGCTAAGGATGCTTCCTGGAAGCACTTATCTCCAGTATGGTTGTAAGTAGAGATGAGATTTGGAGAAGTAATCAGAGAAAGCAGACAGGACCCTAGTCTGATGGGGTTTATTGCCTTATGAGAAACTGCTACAAAATTTCTGTTTCTCTCGGCCACATGAGGACATTGTGCAGAAGCCCATCTGCAAGGTAGCAGGGAGAGACCACAATCACTGTGAGCAGGCTGTCACTCTCCCCTTGACACACACACACACACACACACGCACACACGCGCACACACACACACACATTCTATGATATCCCTGCTGTACCACAAATAGACTGACATCTGGAAATCATAAAAATTGTGCCAAAATAATATGATTTCTCAGCTACACCTTCAGATATGTCCACTCTCTGATAGCAGGAGTTTAGACTGTCAGCCTCAATTTCTTTGTCAAAAACTCTTTTCTTAAATGTTGTTCTTATTTTGAGGATAGACTGAAATAACCTATGTCATAAACCAACCAACATGTCTGAATAGATCGGTCCCTAGGCAACTGTGGCAGTGGTGTTTCGGGTTAGGTTTTTCAACCTTGAAGGCCCTTTCAATATTGGCTCCACACACTATCTTAAGAAGTTTTCCTTGGGTCCAATCATCAATCCCTGTTATTCTTGTCTAAATCATTGAGTCAAGCTAATAAACCTTGTTCACTTTTAGTTCCCTCACTTTGAAATTGGAGACCAGGATTTTCTTCTGCGATGCTGTAGGATTTACATGAGCCAGTGTCTGTACCTGGCACTTGGGAATGTATGAAAAGTCATGAGTGTAGTCCATTCACCATAAGCATCTGCTCACCCTGGACTTGTTAGAAAATGCAGAATCCCAGAGTCTGTGTTTCAAAAGGAGTACACCTATAAAAAATTTGAAAAGCACAAACCTAAATCAGAGAGAGAGAAAGAGGAGAGGTAGATAGGTAGGTAGGTAGATAAAGGTAGATAGATAGATAGATAGATAGATAGATAGATAGATAGATAGATAGATAGAGACAGGAGGAGACAGAGAAATGTGTGAAGACTGAGGCAAATCCCTAACAGGCTGCTAGAAACTCCTCCACCTCCCAATCATACATCTTATAATACACTTCAGGTTTGGCAAAACCCCATCTCCACCCTCATCACTGGGGTCAGGGCTCCCCACTTCCTCAGGAATCTACCTATGTGTAGGCATCTTAACCTCATCTGAGTGTGGGAAAATCTTCCACTCACTCCTCCAACACTTTTTTTTAATCACTGTGCATGTGTGATGCGTGTGTGTGTGTGTGTGCATGTTTGCATGCATGTGTGTGTGTTCATGTGTTATGACTGCAGGTACATGTGTTTTGGCGGAGCATAAAGGGGTCAGAGGACACCTATGGGTGTTGGTCCTTACCTTCTACTTGCTTGAGGCACAGCTCTTGTTCTTTACCACTGTGTCTGCCAAGCTAGCTGGCTCATGAGCTTCTGCCTTCCACCTCATCTGATTAGAGTGCACTATTACAGACACCTGCCCTACCACAGTGCCCTTATTTTGGCTCCAGGGATTTGAACTCGGGTCCTCAAGCTTATATAGTAAGAGCTTTATCCACTGAGCTATCTTCTCTGCCCCTCATCAAATATTTTCTGTGCCCCCTCCCTGCTCCCCATCTAAAGTCTGAGCTCTTAAACTCAAAAGTTAGGTGAATCTTTCCCTTTGTTTTTTGCTTGAGCTTTCCCTCACCTAAAGCTAACTAAGTGAGGCCTGAGGAGGGAAGTAAATTACAAATTGTAAGATGTTGACATATGTCACCAAGAACAGTGTAGAGTGGTGCCTTGTTCTCAGAGACTGAGTGGGATGAAAGAAAATACAGAGTAATGACATATACTTCTCTCTTTGAAAATAATACTGCTTATCTCCAACTCAACACTATTCATTTCTGTTTCCTTCAGCTGTACCTAAAAGTCATCAGAACATAATTTTTCTGCAAAAGTCACACACTCAAAAAAAAAAAAAAACAAACCTGAGGGAATTGTTACGGGTCTTTCCTCTCTATGCTATCATCCTTTGTGCTTTCTCATTCTTCCTATATTGACTTGAGGTTCTCGACTTGTCCTGGTAAAACTTGGAAAAGATTTCGCTTCACTGTCCCAGAAGTCCCAAAGGATACCCTGCTAAAAATCACCCATGCTCCAGTTCCCCAGTTCCCTTTGGCTGTGTTCCACCTCATTTTCTACCACGTGCCCTTTACTCTGCTGTAGTCTCAGCCTGGAGGAGAGAGATAAGGCTTTTCTTTTAGCACAGATCTGTCTGCTGTGTGTCGAAACAATATGGCTCTGACATATGGCTGTCTTCCCTTGCTAGAGAAGCTCTCAGCCCATCCATCGTCATACTCACGTACCCCTAGTACCAGTCTACAGCCAAACTCAAATATCTGCACACAATTAGATTATATCACAGGCTATGGTTTCATTCTCGTCCATTTAGAGCTTCCATGTTCTGGCCTCTGCACTCTCAGCTCCACAGCTACCAACCTTTATCCTGCCTTATCATTCTTGACACTTGGCAAAAGTCAGAAGATCTGTGTGCAAAGCGGTTTCACTGCTTCTCGCTGAGCATGTTAGTTGACTTTGATTATATGCTATAAGAAGAGAAAGGAAAGAAAGAAGGAAGGAAGAAAAGAAGGAAGGAAGGGAGAGAAGGAAGGAGGGAGGGAGAGAAGAATAGAGACATAAATACAAATATAAGTCTTCTACTTATTAGAATTCAATAACTACCATTTATCATCATCCATATCATTATCTTAGCCTAAGGTTGACTTTGGTGCGTATGTTTATATCATGGGGTCTATTAAGGTAAACATAACATTATTAAATAATTTTGCTTTCTTCTGTTTACTATTGTTTTGTGACAGCTAAAAGATCTTAAATCACACTGTAATATTTGACTTGGACAGTTCTGTTCTAATCCATGAGGTAGGATGATCCCAGGGTAGTGTGGTCCTCAGGTATTTCTGGAAATCACAGGGAAGGTCCATGGGCTCCGCATATCAGTCTAGGATAATGCTGTTCACCTCAGTCACAAGTGCTCTCTGGACCATTGTTTCCTGAGTCCTCAGGCCCTTGCGTGGTCTAACTGCCTTCCCATTCCACACTGATCTATTTCTCTGTTTCTAT